AGACATAGTTGATAAGAAAACTGAGGCAACTCAGGCATTTTAGAGTTTGGAAATTTTCCTGCTTGCATTTTATATAGGGGTGGTATGTGTGTATGCAYGCATATACACATCTTGATCTTTTATATCTGTGGAAACAAATAAGGCAACTCATATAAAATAATGCATTTCTGGGGCTGGGGTTGTGGCTCAGTGGTAGAATGCTTGCCTAGCAAGTGTGAGGCCCTGGGTTCAACCCTCCACACCACATAAAAACAAATAAATAAAATAAAGGTATTGTGTCCAACTACAACTAAAAAATAAATATTTGAAGAAAAAAAAAGAAAGCATTTCTACTTGGAGTGACTCACCAAAGAACACTAATAATAYAGGAATCAYAACCCACAGGGTTTTTTTTTCTCTTATTTGATAGCTCTGTAAAAATATAACTGGTTTATGAAACATATGTCTCAATAACACACAGACATTGCCAGGTGAATATTAAAAGAGTAAAGGTTAAAGTTACTGTGGCTAAGCATTAAATAGAAGAGACAAAAACATTTGAACTTCTGCTATAATGGCTCAAGTGTACAAAAGGGAAAAACAAAAAAGGATACACCTTCAAATTCTTAATAGTAGAATGAACCAAACTTAACTTCAGTGAAACAGATGTGTGACTTCATATGTTTCACACATGACAACAGCTTGGATGCACAATCAAAGCTAAAAATCTATTGCAGCATGAAATGGAAATATGCACTGCTAACAGAAACGAACGTATAAATTGTTATATCATGAGGAAAAATAAATGAAGAATGAAAATCCAATGTAATAGTATTAACTTGTTGACAAAAAGTCAAAACTGCTCAGTGCTAAACCAATGTAGCTGGACTCAAACCTCAGCGTACTGTCAGTGTACAGAACTGTTGACCCAGTCATATCCCTAGATATTACTTAAGTTAGACTTGAAACTGTCAATGTTACTGGAGATTGATTGATTGATTGATTGATTGATTTATCAGACTTCTTTCAACTTAAACAGAAACTGTTGAAGTAACAGCTATTCTACGTTTGTAACAAAGGAATGGATTCATAAAACTTCTGGTTAATGAAGGACTAAGAGAGTTGAGAGTTGGAAGGAAATTTAGGGAGTCAATTCTAAATCTTAACTATATCCCAAGGTAGGTTCTAAATGAATGTCTTCAGCAAAGAATCATCAAGAGTTTTTTAAGTTCAAGACTTAATGTAAGCTGGGTACAGTGAGACATGCCTATAATCCCAGCTACTCAGGAGGCTGAGGSAGGAGGATGGCAAGTTTGAGGCCAGCCTGGGCAACAGAGACCCTATCTCAAAAAAATAAAATAAAATAAAAAGGGCTAGGGATATAGCTCAGAAAAAAAGATTCATTGATGATTGCTTGGGGTGACACCAATATACCTAAACCCTAATACCTCCCTTCAAGGATATAGGCTGTAAAACAGAATACTGTACCTTTAAAGGATAAAAAATTAAATCCTAAGAACCAGGAGGAGTCTTACTGCAAGATAAAATACTTCAAGGAACACTTATGAGATGCTTAGGCTGGGTCTAGAACAAGGAGTCAAATTTGGACACGTGGCAATGGAAGAGAAGGACATTCYAGGTAGTATGAATAGAATGCACTCCAATACCCTATGCAAACAAACATCATTTCCAACAATTCTTCCCTGACACAGTCTGCTCTTGTTAYACCAGTCTTCTTGGTTTTCTTCAAAGAGGCATTCTCTCCTCAGGGCTTACACATTTKCCTGGAATGCTCTTCCCTGATATCTGCAAGGCTTGCTTTCTTATGTCCTTCAMGTATTTTTTCAAATGTCACGTTCTCAAGAGAACTTAACTGGCTACCTTATTTAAAACTGCCATCCTTACACTCCCTATCACCTTGCCCTGTTTTGTTTTTTCCACAGCATTTATTACTACCTGGCACACTATATAGTCTGCTTCCTATTAGCTGTGTCTACACCCTTCCCACAAGAGCAGAAGATAGATATATTTGTTCATCTTCAGTGTCTGCACRCATAAGTCATGAAATAAATATTTACTGATAAACTGATGGAATAAATGAATGAAAAAGATATCTACCCTCAAATAGATTACAATCTACTGGAGAAAGCATATTATTGGCAAAAATCCAACTTATAAAACTAATACACAGAAACAGCTTCTGGTACCCCACTTCTTCACAACCAATAAACTGACCTTTTATACCTTCTAGCTACATTTCCCCATGAAGCCTCTTTCCATATTAAGCTTCAGTGCTATCTAGTGAGTAAATGTATCACCCTGTAATATTTTTATTACCACTGTTGAACAAGAAACATGTATTTCCAGATTTCCTAATTAAATTCATATTTTAGTAGATGGTTAAATTCTACACTACGGGGTGGTATACTGATTACTGATCAGCCAGGGAATATTAAATTGAGATAYGGAAAAATAAAATTTTGAATTCTATTTCAGTATTGGAATATACTTTTTCTTCACTGAAAATGGCACTGGTAAAATGATTAAGAGAAACGTTCCTTTGACAAAGGGTATTAACATTTTAAAGAAATGGTTAACAACGGAAAGTTAATGGTATTTTTTTTTTATTCAGAAGGATCAATTAGAATTATATTCTGGATTAAAGAATAATGTAGAATTTTTAAACGGAGCATTCATATTTAAGTTACACTAAACTAAAACTACCCAGGATTAATGCAAAATATTCTCTATCACCAGCAAAGGCAAAACAACTTAAGGAAATAAATAAGCTCAAGATTTCTCTTCAGCCAACACCTCCACAGACTATATTATCATTTTAGACAAACTGACATTTTCACATTTAATTTTTAATGGCAAGAATGAGTTCCATCTGGGACCTAACTGCATAAAAGTATTAGTCTTGGCACAGTTTCAATACTGAATTGAAAGTTCATTTCTGGCTACAAGCAAAATGCCCCAATACAACACAATAGTTACATCTCACATTAATCCTATCATCCAGAGCCCAATTTTATGTATTTAACCTAGAGGTGAATTTTGCCCCAAGGTAGGCACATATGTATATAACCCTTTCACAATCATTTATAAATTACTACCTAAAAGCCTCGAGCACTTAGGAATATTAACAGCGATGCAGTTTTAAAAGAGAGATTTTACAAATATTACTATTCTTTGGAAGTAGAAGAGAAACTAAATTCCCTTGAAAAATGCCCAACCGGAAGCCGAAATCATAACTTCTAGGTATAGAATCACCGTACTTCAGCCATGAAAAATGTCAACAGCTATTTCAAGAGTAAGTAATTCACAATCAGGTGAAAAGCATGATAAAACTATCAGCTCCTCACTTATCTTCCTCTTTTGTAAGGAGACACCTTGAAAGTCACACTGGGCAGTTGATCTCACGGAAACATCCATGGGAGACTGTACAGAGCGTGCAGTCACCGAAACGCGGGAGGCTAAAGTTCCTCCGCTATGAGAGGATTACAGCGGAAAAACAGTAGCCCATCTGTCCACTGGCGAACATAAAGAAATCCACCTGGAAGGGTTGGAAGTAAGGGAGGTGGGGCTGTGAGAAGAGCGGGGCCAACCCGAGCCGCCCACAGCACGAAGGCAACCGCGCGGGGTGAGCTCCCGGGACTTAGGGCGCGGGGCTCGGAGCGGGCGCAGGTGGGCTGCGGATGCCCGACCCCTGAGGGCCGGGCCCGAGCTGCCGGGAAACCACCCTGCCCACAGACGGGCGGAGGAGCCGCCCCGCAGAGCCACGTCGGAGGCTGGGAGCCCGGCGAGGAGGTGGGCACCTGGCTCACACCCACTGGAAGATGACAGCCGGGAGCTCGAGGCTGCCAGGGCGCTAAAAGGGCCGCAGCGCGCCGGACGGAATCGCTCCGAGGAAGCCGCGCTGGGCGCTGCCCGCCGTCAACGACTCCCCCTCGCCCATGATCGGCGGCGGCTGGATACTTACGTAGGGCTGGTAGAACTTGGAGAGCCGCGGCTTCCCGTGGTTGTTGAAGATGAGGATCGCCTTGATCATGGCTGGGCCGGGCCGACTGGGTGGGCGCTGGGGGCCAGGGCGGGGGCGGGCACGCGAACCTCGCCTCGGGATCTTGCCAGCGATCCTTCCCCACCCGCCCCCTCCCGCACGCGCTCGCGCGCGCTCCCGAGCCGCTGGGCGGGGGGTTGAGGGGCGGGGCCAGGGCGGGGCAGATGCGGAGGGAAGCGGAAACATTTTCGGGCCAGAGCCGACTTACCGGAGGGGTGCTTTTCACTTGGCCGCTCATGGGAATGTTGCCCATGGAACCCGTCCTTAAGTTTATCGCAGTAAGAAAACACCAGATGCCATAGTAACAGCCAGGGGTCCTAGACAGTTTCCATATGGAGAGCTAGCCGGAAGCTCCAACGTTCACCGTTGGGTTAGATCCCCCTTTGGYGCCTCCTTTGCGATTCTCCTCAGCGCTGAGCCCGCCCTCTGCACGCTCTCAGCTGCCACTTCCGCTCTCGCTTTCCACCGTGCAATATGGCGGAGGASCCTGAATCGGTGTTGCAACTCCCTTCAACTGCTGCTGCTGGCGGTGAAGGACTTACGGATGTCTCCCCAGAAACAGCCACTCCAGAACCCCCATCTTCTGCTGCAGTCTCTCCGGGTACAGAGGAGCCTTCAGGCGACACCAAGAAAAAAAGTAATTTTGAGAGCAGTCTGGGCAGTGAGGTGGGAGGTTTAGCTGCGGTCTCTAAGGGTGGTGGCCAATAACGAATCGAAATTTGGAGGAAGGCGCGAACCAGAGGTACATTTTTGGGGGTCCGAAGAGAGGAAGCGTGCTTTCATTTTTCAAACCTTGTCGAGTGCTTCACGAGGAAGCCGTCTCCGGACTCACCATTGTGCTTGCTGGGCTACGTTAGGTGCCTTGGTTATCCATGTGGTTCCAGGTACTTAGCTGCCTCCGTGCTTTTTACAATATATTCTAATCTACCTGTGAGTTGGCTAGATTACAAGTCTTGAAGGTGAGATCCGAGTGAAAGTTCAGTAGCTTCCGGTGCTTAACATAGGAGCTAATTATTTGAATAATGATTTAAAGTAATAAGGATGGTCAGATTGGTCAGAATATGGAGAAGTACTGGCGAACGAAATCAACCAGATTAAGGATGGTCAGTGGCAAGGCCTGGAATTAGATCGCTGCTTTTGTCTCTCCTACAACAGAGTGTGAATGGACTCCTTGAATCGGAAAAAACTTGAGGTTTTACTCAGTATGGACATTGCTAAGGGAAATTTGAAAATACAGATATTACCTTTTTTWAAAAATTTTTTGAACCATTGTGAATCATTTCATTGCTTGAACCTATCAGTCCTCACGGTTTACTGCTTGAGAATTTGTTCTTTGTTGGAAATTAATTTCTAATGTTATTTGTTTTGAGCACTCTGGAGAGTTGAGAGTTGCTTGTGAGCAAAACATCTGCAAAGAGACTGAATTTCCTTAGACAAGTTTTCTCTCCAGAGTCTTGAACGGTAGATAAGTTTTCTGATCCATGATCTCACTGGCCTTTCATTGAACTTTTTTCTGCTGCTGTGGAGAAAAATTRCCTCTCCCAGCACTGCTTCCCTTTTAAATCAGATTCATTTGGGGCTGGGGATAAAATGAGCTCGGTTGTAAGATAAATGCTTGTCTGATAATGTAAGCCCTAGTTTAATCTCCAGCACCACAAAAAGAAAGAAAAATCAGACTGCTTTTACCTCTGGGAAAAAAATCTGTTGTCATTCCACCTGATGAACTGTGATTACTTGTACAGATTAATCACCAGAGTCTTTCTTCAAAAGAATCCTATATGTTTTACAGACTGTTGTTGGATTGTTTTTTTTTTTCCATTTTGCCTACATTGAAAGGATTTTTTTTAAAGGTTTAGTCAAAATTTACTACTTAAAGCCAGGCATGGTGGTGAATGCATGCCTGTAATCCCAGCAACTCAGGAGGATGGCAAGTTCAAGGCCACCTTCCAATTAGCAGCAAGAGACCCTGTCTCAGAATAAAAAATAAAAACAACCCTGGGTTCATTTACCAAAACCAAAAATTTATCGCTTGACACTCAGGATATCTTCGTTACAGAGATGGAAAACAGTGACCTAGCACCCAGAAGGTGTGTTTTCTTTGGTATGAATAATTTTCTTTCTTTTTTTTTTTCTTTCTTTTTTTTTTTTTTTCACAAACTGAACCATCCTATTGAATTCCTATCCTGATTGTGATCCTTTTTGAGGAAGATCTGATGAAAGAAACTTGAATACTTCAATCTCTGCAACTTTAAAGGATTGTGGAAACCTATCAAGGTTGTRGGCCCTGAGATCACCTTAGGCTCAACTGGGGAATCTTTTGAACAAAACTGTGCTAAAGTCTCTACTGTCAAAAGATTCTCACTTAATTGATGTGTATACCTGTATTTTAAATGTTCCCCCAGTTGATTTTAATGGGTAACTAGAGTTTGGAACTATTGGCAGATCCCCTTAAGAATTGCAGGGTTATGCAGTGAAAATTTCTTCTTCTTGCCCTCAGGCTCTTCTTCYTTCATCAGTACGACTGGGTCCCTAATTACAGCGCCTGGGGACTGAGGAAAGAGGGAGGGAAGTGTGGAAGCCAAGCTAGCCAAAAYCCCATCTAAATTCTTCCAAATGAAGAGGAAGATAAACTATGTGCATCATATATTTTAATTGCCTTCATTCCAGGGGTAAACTAGAATAAATTGATCTCTGATTCCAATAGGCCCCAAGCTTTTAATTCCAAGAATGGCCTAGGGGGTAATAGAACAGAATTAACTGTAGGGGGCAGCAGTATGCTATTTTTCTTTCAGTATTGCTTACTTTGATTATAGGTGTTTTTGATTTTTTTTAAGGGACATAACTTCAAAAGACAGAATCATAGTCTTCAGGTTTGCATTGCTGTATTTTGGATCATTGAAAGGATTTCTCCGAACCTTACTTTTGGCCCAAAATTGTATTTTATTTTTAATAACATGGTTTTTCTTTATTAAAGAGTTTATTGTAGAAAACTCAGCAGTTACAAAAAGCCTAAGTTACGTCAAGTAATAATTGCCTGTGTCACTACTGAAAAGTAATATTTTGTTTAAATTCCTTAAACTCGTGGCCTTGGAACAGTTGGTATGAAACTAATAGTGATTATTTTCCCTTAGAAGTGTGTAATAGTTCCTAGGCATCAATGTATAAGTATATAGAAGTACACATGGAGCTACATTTTACTTTATTATCCATTTTCTATAATCATGTGAATATGTGTTCAAGATGCTTTTAATGAAATTGAGACAATATATATACTGTTTACATTAGGTTTATTTTGCTAGCATCACTATGTTGTTAAATATGCTTTTATAATGTCTCTTTAATATTTAATCTTAAAGTTCAATAAGAATGACTTATGTGCTGGATACTGTTATAAACATGTTAATTCATTTAATCCTCATTACAACCCTATGAGGTAGGTGCTATTTATTATCTCCCTCTTACAAATGGAGAAACTAGCATGGGGAGATTAAAAAGTTTTCCATGTGTATATACCTAGCAAGTGACAGAGCTAAGAGAGTATAGCATCTTTTATTTAATCAGTATCTTTTAAATATCCATGTTGGATACTTGGTTTTACCAGTATTTTTCCTTAAAGATGCTTTAGTGAAGGGGAAATTCTTCTAAATGAGTCTTTGCACATCACATATTTTCTTCAATTATATTCCTGGAAGTATTACTGAGTCAAAAGTATGTCTTCAAGTATTGGATATGTATTACCAAGTTGCTTTCCAGAAAGGGGATACCATTTTTTATTCTCAACAGTAGTAGCCACACGAATACTCTAATCTTTGTAGTTTGCTAAGTAAAAAACAAAATGTGAGATTAAACTTTGCTGCTGTTACACATCTTTATGGGCCATTTCTGTTTCTTTTCTTTTACAGTTGACATCCTACTGAAGGCTGTGGGAGACACCCCTATAATGAAAACAAAGAAGTGGGCTGTAGAGCGAACCCGAACCATCCAAGGACTCATTGACTTCATCAAGAAGTTCCTTAAACTTGTGGCCTCGGAACAGTTGGTATGAGACTAATAGTGATTATTTTTCCTTAGAAGTGTACCATAGTTCCTAGGCATCAGTGAATAAGTATATAGAAGTACACATGGAGCTACATTTTACTTTGTTATCCCTTTTCTGTCTTTTTTGTTGGAATTTATATACTTTATTGAAGRATTCTTTGGGAACTCTAAAATAAGATGAATTTGAGATTTGCTTTACATTGTAAACCAATTTTTTAATCTGAAAAGAACATTGTTTTGATTCCAGTGTTGCTTTTGTCCCATTCTTCTAAAGGTAAGCAATATGTCTGACATGTGCTATGAAAGAACTAAGAAATTTACATTTAAACTTATGTTGTAGTATACCTTACTCACTTCTAGGAAGGGTTAATATTTTTAATGCCACTGGTTTTTATTTTGGGCAGGTCTGTCTAAAGACTGTAAACTTTAATTACCATACTTTATGACATACCTAAGGAGAAAATGTTAGCAAAATTTATTCATGTTATAGTTAGTGATCAAAATAACATCTGAAATGATACTGTTAAAAAAACACTGAAACATTGAATAACAAATTCTTTAAAGAACAGGATTGTAAGGGCCTTGGGTTTTAATTATATTGCCTAGCCCCCTTCTTTTGCCTGGAAATGACTTTATGGTAGCAACCGGCCTGAAGTAGTTTCGTACCTTTGAAAGTTTTTTTTTTTAAAGGTAATAAACATTTAAAAAAAAAAAAAAAAAGCCTTAACCATGAATGTCACACATTTAACCAAGAAAAATGCATGCACAGACTATCTTGAATATTAGATTTATTGATTTGGGGCTRTGTGCGAATTTTTTAGAAGAAATTTTGTCTTTATGGTTAGGTGCAAGTGTAGAATTTTTTGTAATACTGATTTCTTGGAAAGCCTGAACAAACTATTTATAAAAATGATTTACAAGTTTTTAATTACTAAAAGCTGGAAACTCCTTTATAGRAGCAAAAATTCTGTTATTCTTCTGGAAGAAAGATAATTTTCATAAAGTTCTCTTTAAATGGATGAATTAATTATTTAGGGGAGCTTTGTTCAATCTAAAGACAGCTTAAAATAGCTTGATTTGATCCAAAAAAAAATACAGGTTAATCAGTGTACCATTAAAAATGAATCTGTATTTTCTTCTTTTCTTTCTTATAGTTTATTTATGTGAATCAGTCCTTTGCTCCTTCCCCAGACCAGGAAGTCGGGACCCTCTATGAGGTAAAAAGTTACTTTTTTTTTTTTTATCTTAATGGAGTATGCACATGTGCGTAATATGCATATAATAGTGTATAGCATGAATCATTCATATCTTTAAGAATTGGCATGCCAAGCACATTGGCACCTTCCTTTAATCCCAGTGACTTGGCAGGCTGAGGCAGGAGGATCATAAGTTCAAGGCCAGGCACAGCAACTTAGCAAGAACCTACCTCAAAATTTAAAAAATACTGATATACTAAGGATGTAGTTCAATGGTAAAGCACCCCTCGCTTCAATCCTCAGTACCAAAAACAAAAGAATTGGCATGCCATTCTTAATTGTCTGTGTGGGGAAAAAAAGAAGAGATGACATTCTCGCTCTCTTGTTTCATCTYTAATACCTTGAATGTAGTAGGACTTTAATAACTTATACAGTGATTGAAGGATCAAGAAATTAATTGTATGTCAAAATAATCTTTTCATATTTTTAGAAGTTATATCCAGTCTCTCTACATTGCTCATGTGATCTGTAATCCAAATCTGCCTCCAAGAAATTGAAAAACTACATAAGAACCACTTTACTCAACATTCTTGCAGTTCTATGGCGATAATTATTAGAGTGTACTTACAAGCACTAGTAGAGAACATCTAAAAATACATACTTGACCATCAGAGCAAGATGAAAATATATAAGCCCATTCATACCCAATTTGCTTAACTGATGGATTTTTGTGAAACATTTATGATTATTGGTTACATGTCTGGTAAAAAAAAAAAAAAAACAGGCATTTTTTTAAAAGAAAGTTACCTTATGACATAGGTAACTAACATGAACATATATGGATATTTGTGATACATATGACTTTTTCTTAGTTTTATTTAACAGTAACAGAAATGGAGTTTAATTTGTTGCGATTTTTCTTTTTGTAGTGTTTTGGCAGTGATGGTAAACTGGTCCTACATTACTGCAAATCTCAGGCCTGGGGATGAGCCACAGAGAAAAACAGCTTGCTACTCAAGATGATGTTTTCACAGAGGAAACAGCTCCATAAAGTTCTTATGCTGTGACGAGACTTAACAGATATCAACTACTCAGCATGTGTCTACTGTAACTCATATTTATACATAAGAAAACCTCTGTAGAGTGAATAGACTAACAAAAATATGATTTGTGTTAATACACAAGTCTTCATAAAAGATTGACATCACAGTATGCCTGTTACTTCTGCGTATTACTACCATTGTTTCAGATCTGCCTCCAAGATTGAGAAGATTGAAACTACATGAACTTTCATTACCAGTTTTCAAAATGATTGAAATTGTTTACTTATAGAAYTAGTACTCTGCTGATTTCTTTCATGGTAAAAATTAATTTACTAATAGGTTTTTCTATTTCTTTTTAACTCATTCAAGGAAACGTCAGGGATATAAGAGGTTTATATTTTTTCTGTTGAATTACCTTGTCAAACAAAGTCGCATTGACCTCTTAGCTGAATACCTTACATAGTCCATTAGAGGGCAGTCCAGCTGATAAAAAGGATTTGGTTAATCCGGTTCTACATCTTTGCCGGGTGAAAGGAAATACGACTTTTCTTGTTAATTTCTGGCCAATATGTAGCCAAGAAAGTAAGTATGTTGACAAACTGGAAGACTTTGAGAAAATAATCACAATTTAATTATGCTGGGAAACAAACAATTTTACAAATTCTAGACAAATGAGTTTTATAGGATTTTTTTTTTTTTTGGTACTATCATTTAAGATTGAGTTCCAGTGTTGTGCTGCTTTATCACTTATTTAAACAATGTCCAAAGAACTTGCTGAGTAAACCTAAAATCATTGTGTACTTCATTTTATATTCAGATTGAAAGTATTCAAAGAATAATTGTAAAATAGCCTCAAATTTTATGTGTATGTCATGCCTTGACTAAAAGAGTACCATTTTTACTGGTGTGGTTAGACTGCTCATTGCTTGAAGTGAGATTTAACTTTTTTTTCTTTTGTACTTTATTTATCATGCATAATATTTAAAGCCATTCCATAAATGGAATAGAATGTTCAAACAGGTTTTGTGACATGTACTATAATTTCAAGTGTTTGTTTTCAAAGATAATATGGTAGGAAGGATGTGRTTTTTATGAAAGTACTTGAGCTACACTTACATCCTTTAAATCCCAGAGTGCACTTTATGGCTAGGGTTCAGCCACATATTAGCATGAGGATATGCTAAATAACAATTCACTTTACAATGAAGAAATTGCTATTCATTTCTCATTTTCTGCCTAAGAATGTGAATTCTTGATTTCCCTTATACCAATGACCCTTTATAATAAATGAATATGGCTAATAGCAGTGGAAAATTATTGACAGGTTAAATTGTACAAAATTATGAGAAATGTGTATATATGTTGAAAGATGGAAATGAATTTTCAAGTCAATTGGGTTAGATATAAAAAAGATATTCTCTAGTTTTGTCTGCTTATAATTCACTCAAGGAAGGACTATATTACATGTGTAAATAGAATTTATGCATTATTTTTGCTGTTGATGTTTCAAATAGAAACTACCTCAACAATGAAAAATATTTTGAGTTTGAAATTTTTAACATCAGTGTAATTATTTTTTAATCCAAATAACAGTAGTCTATTAAACTAAGATTAACTAAATGTATACTTTATTTTCTTCCCTAATAACTTTGAAGAACATACAAGGCTTTACACATTTTCAAATTATATTTACTTTTTTTTTTTTTATCTTTACCCAAATAGTCATTCTTCATTAACTTTGCAATACTTAACTTATAAGCCTGGAGTCTCTACGTTATTGGAACTTAAATAACTAAAATTTAAGTTAGAACCTAAAACATAGTTTATTCACAAGTTTGCAGTTCATACTGTCTTAAATGTGATTGAACTTAGGGGGAAAAAACTGAACCCTTAGGTCATATTTTAAATTTTCTGTGTATTGAGAAGAAAAGTGTCAGTTTGTCATCTTTAGCTTATTGTACAAGTATGACCCACAGCATATTAAATAATATGATATTAGAATCTTAGAGGTATATGCGCCACAAACTTCATAACAAGTTCTCCATGTTTAGGGCACAAGGTAACTTAAGAATATTTTATCTGTAATCAAAATAAGACTGGATACTTACCGAAATCTGATTTCTTGAAGTCTTGACCTAAAAAGACTTTAGAAAGCCTGTGTCCTCTAATCAAATGAGAAAACTAAAAACTGTAGGATATGCCTCAGATTATAGAACATTAGTCAACCCATTTACTTATTTAGATTGTGTAACCCAAAGTAGGAAAGCATTAAGTRTTGAAAGAGTGGTGAAAATGAAAATTGCCTTCCATGCAGCTTCTGCTTTATTTTCCTGGAATTATAACTGGTTGGGTAAGCTTTTAACACCACAGGGAAGCCAGCTATAGGTCACATAATGACAGGGAAGGTGTTTAGRAAACAGTTTAGTGGTTTAGTCCTACAAATATTATTTCCTTACAACAGTTTTCAGCCCAAACTGGATTGTTCACTGTTCCCTATGGTTTTGGTTTCCTACCTCTGCTTATGCAGTTCACATACATATTTACTCCTTCAATGGTTAACAATTCTTTTATGCCTAAATTCAAAGTTGAACTCTTACAGCCAGTCTGAATTAGAGAAGATACCCTCTTCAGAAAGACACCRCAAACTATAATAGCATATAACTACATGTGCCTATTACTCCTTCATGAATGTCGTTCTTAAAAATAGGATGTTTTGGGAATTTTTTTTTAATTTGGCATTTGGGCATATTGAGGGAATGAAATTGTGATAACAAGGTGATTTAGTGTAGGAAATCAGCAATGTGTAAAAAATAATTATATGGCAGAAGGTAACGGAAAATATTTACAATGTATAATAGCATTTTAATGCCTATGAACTTGTTTCATCTGATAAGGCCAACTAACTGGAAAATAAGCAAAAAAAAAAAAAAAAGGCAGGAGGTGGGGTTAGTTCAGTGGTAAGAGTCCTGGGTTCAATCTCTAGCACTTAAAAAACAAAAAAATCTAATGGGATTCACAAAGGAAGAACAAGTGGCCAATAAAGTATGAAAAACCTAACCCCTTTAGTTAGTACTTAAAACATAAAAAGATGCTGGTTATCACCCATCCTTAAATTAAAAACAAATCTTGATATTGGCAAAGTTGTGGGGAAATGAGTCCTGTCATTTTCTTGGTGAATGGAATGTGAATTTGCACTTTATTCTTAGGAGCCAGTTTGGCATTACCCAAAAATCTTGTAAGTATAAACATCTATTATTCATTAATGTTTTCAGTACTTGGTCTGTCCTCAACATTGGAATAAGACAATTTTATTCTAATGACAAGTTGGGGAGTAGACTTTCAGATTTGAATTTAAATTGAAGACTTTTTTTTTTTCCTTTTAGTACCCAGGATTGAATTCAGGGGCACTCCACCACTGAGCTACATCCCCAGCCCTATTCTTTGTATTTTATTAGAGATGGGGGTCTCACAGAGTTGCCTACTAGTGCCCTGCTTTTACCTAGGCTAGCTTTTAACTCTAGATCCTCCTGTCTCAGCCTCCTGAGCCACTGGGATTACAGGCATGTGATGTTTAGAAATAACGGAAAGTAAGATATTTGATAATAGGGGTTTTACATTATGTTGTATTAAGGATATTTTGTGTTGTAACAGATAATCATGATTCTTAGTATTGGTTACTTGCGATGGTGACGAGAAGCCTGTGACCATCTGTTTTGAAATGACGTTTATTTCTAGAATTGTGATCATCTGTTTTGAAATGGCTTTTATTTCTAGAATCGTCTTCCTTACAGTCTTCAGCCCTGTCTCTTCCAACTATCCGCTCCCACTTAAAGTATCTAGATCTCCAAAGCATATCTTTCTTCCTCTTCCAGTTTCATTTTCTCTAACCATTTCAGTAAAATCCATCCAGTTGCTTAGCTGTTTCTTGACTCCTCTTCCCACCCAGTTCCAATCTGCATCAAATCCAGACAGATTTACCTTGCAAACTTAGAATTCAGCTGTCCCTCAGCTCTTCTGTTATACTTGTGGACAAAAGCCACCATTAAATACACAAAATCTCCATTCTTAATTGTAATAGCTAATTCATTCCCCTGCATCTGTACTCATCTGACAAAAACTCTCCAAAGACATCCCATATAGGAGTAAAAGCTGAAGTCTGTGATGTGCAGTCCCTAGTACACATTTCTGCCACTCATCTGTGCTCTTATTCCAATACTTAAGGTTGCACCCATTCCAAGGCCTTTGCACTTATTTCCTCCATCTGGAAACTTCCATTTCCCTCATTCTCTGCTCAAACCTACTTTAAAGAAGTCTCTGAATTCCCTCTAAAATGTTTTTTTCCCCTGCTTTATTTTTCTCCATTATACATTGTGTACAGGTGTTTTGTATCCATATGGCATACAATATTTGTGTGTCCTTGCCTGCAGCCATTGAACTATAAACTCCCTAAGGGCAGAGATTTACTTTTGGAATAGTGCATAGCTCATAGTACTTTTTTTTTTCTTTTTTCTTTCTTTTTTTTTTAATGTGCTAGATGAGCTGGGAGTTATGGTGCATACATGTAATCCCAGTGAATTTGGCTGAGGTAGGAGGCTCTCAAATTTGAGACCTGCCCAGAAAACTTAGCAAGACCCTGCCTATAAATAAAAAGTACTGAGGAGTGGCTCAGTGGCAGAGCCCCCTGGGTTCAATTCCCAGTACCACACACACACAAATCTTGGCTAGATGTTATTTCCAAACATCTAGTTTTAGTTGCCTTCTGGATCTTCTGGATATCTGCTCCCATGTCAGTGTCTTAAAATGTGCCCATCATTGTCTGGGCAATTCAGAGTACAGTAGAATTACTCTCTGGGTCTTGGTATTTTACTTTTATTAATAAAGCCTATAATGTTTATGGCTTTTAATGATGAATAGGTTACAATGTGAAGCTCTAGAGAAGAATTCTGAGGTTCTTTGCTGGATTTGAATTGAACTCCAGAATCTCCAAAGAAGTATCAATTGAATTACTCTAGCAAATTACCAACATATTTTCCCTAACTTCACCATTTATGCATGCACTCAAATATTTTGAGTGTATTACATAACAAAGTTGTGTGTGCTAGGAATGGATGTAGATATAAAATGCTGCTAGGCATGGTGATGCATGCCTATAGCCCCAGCTGCACAGAG